AGGTCAGGGTGGAGTCGGGGGGATTTGGGGTTTTTTGGGGTTTTATTGGGATTTTGGGGATTTTGGGGTCATCAGCATGCACAACGTCAGGGTGGGCTTGGGGGGATTTGGGTTTTTTTGGGGTTTTTTGGGATTTTGGGGATTTTGGGGTCATCAGCATGCACAACGTCAGAGTGGACTTTGGGGGATTTGGGGGTTTTTTGGGATTTTGGGGGGGTTTGGGGGGATTTTTGGGGTTTTGGGGGGATTTCAGAGGATTTAGAGGTGATATTGGGGGGTTTGGGGAGGGTTTTGGGGGATTTTTGGGGGGATTTGGGGGATCTGTGGAGCCACAGAAGGACTGGGACTGTCCCTGGCTGTCCCCAAGGTGTCCCACGATGTCCCTGGGTGTCCCTGGGTGTCCCCGGATGTCCCTTGGGTGTCCCTGTCTATCCCCGAGTGTCCGCTGTCTGTCCCTGTGTGTCCCCAAGTGTCCCCAAGTGTCCCCTAGATGTCTTGGGGTGTCCCTTGGGTGTCCCCTGGGTGTCCCTGGATGTCCCTTGGGTGTCCCTGAGCATCTCTGAGTGTCCTCTGGATGTCCCCAGTCTGTCTCTGTCTGTCCCCGCGTGTCCCCGAGTGTCCCCCTGGATGTCCCCAAGCGTCTCCAAGTGTCCCCGGGTGTCCCTGGGTGTCCCCCGGGTGTCCCCTGGGTATCTCTGAGGGTCCCCTGGGTGTCCCCTGTCTGTCCCTGGGTGTCCCCTGGGTATCCCCAGGTGTCCTCAGGTGTCCCTGGATGTCCCCATGGTGTCCCCTGGGTGTCCATGGTTCTCCCTGGATGTCCCTAAGTGTCCCTGTCTGTCCCTGTGTGTCCTCGAGTGTCCCTTGGGTGTCTCTGGATGTCCCTTGGGTGTCCCTCCGGGTGTCCCCGGCTGTCCCCGGGTGCTGATGTCCCCCTGGGGCGGGGGCAGCTCTTCCTGTTCCAGCTGCTGCGGGGTTTGGCCTTCTGCCACCGCCACAAGGTCCTGCACCGCGACCTCAAACCGCAGAACCTGCTGCTGAGCCGCCGGGGGGACCTCAAGCTGGCTGACTTCGGTCAGGGCACCCCAAAAACCCCACCTGCCACCCCAAAACCTTCTCTGGGACCCCAAAAACGTCCCCTGGGACCCCAAAAACCCCACCCGGGACCTCAAAACCCCATAAAACCACCAAAAACCCATAGACCTTCCCAGGATCCCATAAACATTCCCAGAACCTGCTGCTGAGCCGCTGGGGGGACCTCAAGCTGGCTGACTTCGGTCAGGGCACCCCAAAAACCTGACCTGAGACCCCAAAACCTCCCCTGGGACCCCAAAAACCTCCCCTGGGACCCCAAAATCCCTACAGAAATCCATAAAACCCAAAAAACCCATAGACGTTACCAGGACTGCTGAGCCGCTGGGGGGTTCTCAAACTGGCTGACTTCGGTCATGGCACCCCAAAAACGGCACTTGGGACCCCAAAACCTCCCCTGGGACCCCAAACCGCTGGGGGGTTCTCAAACTGGCTGACTTCGGTCATGGCACCCCAAAAACGGCACTTGGGACCCCAAAACCTCCCCTGGGACCCCAAAAACATCACCCGGGACCCCATAAAACCACCAAAACCCCATAAACGTTACCAGGATCCCATAAACCTTCCCAGGACTGCTGAGCCACCGCAGCGACCTCAAACTGGCTGACTTCAGTCAGGGCACCCCAAAAACATCCCCTGGGACCCCAAAAATTCCACTGGGACCCCAAAATCCCCTCAGAACTCCATCCAACCCCCCAGAACCCCATAAAACTTCTCAAGATTCTGCAAACCTTCCCCCAGACCCACCCCCTGACTGTTTTGTGCCCCCCAGGACCCCAAATCAGCCCTAAATGCTCCCCAGCCCCATTGGACTGCTGAGTCGCCGGGGGGACCTCAAACTGGCTGACTTTGGTCAGGTCACCCCAAAAACCTCACCTGGCACCCCAAAACTTCCCATGGGACCCCAGAAACCCTTCAGAGCTCCACAAACTCTCCCTGAACCCCATTTCCTGCCCCCCCAGCCCCATTTTGTGCCCCCCCAGCCCCATTTC